CTAGCAGTATATTTTCCTCATCTATGTATGTATGTATATGAGTACTTAACCAGCATATGTATGTATATAGGCTGTTGCCTGCAATCAGATGTCCATTTTCCCACTGTGTCTGATGATACAATGCACTTTCCATTGTCAGCTGACACATGATTTCCGGTTGATGTTTTTCCAATTGCTTCAGAAATAGCCAGCTTATGTCGTATTTTGCTTTAACTCGATTTTGCTTGCTCTTTTTTACTATTAAAATAATCCGCGCTGACATACATACTTATGTATGTATGTATTTTATTGGAGAGGAAATGCATTTTAAATGTTGGTCATGCAGGGATGCATTCTATTAAATGCTTGACAGACCATTCATAGCGCGAACAGCAATTTAAAATCAACATTCAGCAGCGATCGACTGCGGAGTATGTCACACTCACGCAAGTGTCAAGCGATTGAATTCATGCAAACGTAACTCGATACCTGTTTTGCTTTAAAATTTAACTCACCACAAAATTTAACACCGATAGTTACAGAACTTGAATTGCATTCAGCCACAACCATTTAATTACTGAAAACCATTTAATTAAAGTGGTTTAAGGCGTAAATAATCAACATACATATATAGAGCTCAATACAGCTTTTAATTTTTTTATTTTTTACGCTATACTTTTCGACAAAGGCTACATGGCCAAACTCATAAATCGTAATAGCACCTTATGTACGTATCTATGATAGTTAATCCATACTTAATTGAAATTCAACAACAGTTATGTCCAATTGCCCAATGAACGTATAATAGTAATAATAATAATAATAGATTGGTGCTTACACATATGCTAGTGTTTGGCCGAGCTTCTCCTCCTATTTCCGATTTGTGGCGTGCGCCTTGATATGTGATGTCTTTGACTATAGTAGCATCGAGGCTTAGCAAATCTGATTTAAAAATTTGGTTCCTAGATTTAAGGACCACCCTAATGTGCACACATTTTCTTATATAAATATTGTTTCTTGGTATTCAAAAATACATACATACATATATCAAAATTATTTAAATTGTGTCGTAACTACTGCCCACACCTCTCTACGAAACGAGCAAGAAGCAGCGAGATGTCATACGGGATGTCGCAAGGGAAGAACTCAAAATTAACGCAGTTGCATTAGCAAAATGATGCAAATGGAAAGGCGAGAGGTTTCGCTACCACTAGGCTGCTCACTCTAAAGTGACAAAGACTCAGATGAGCGAACACATTGTGAAAAGGATTTAAAATCATAGTAAGTGTACCTGCCATGGGGAAGAATAAAACGCATTTGGTTTATACGAACAGTTTTTGAACTTTTCATGGCCTTAGGTTACACAACAACGAGGTGTCCACCATCAACAACACCTTACATTCTTACTTTACCCACAACTGTTGCTAAATTGCGAGCGAATGCTGAGCGGCTAAAGCGCCTACAAGTATGCAAATTTTATGCAAAGTTTGCAAATTTTCAACTGCCAACCAAGCACGAAAAATGAAAAGTGTACAAAAACCTAAAGCACATTAAAAAGGAAATAAAGCAAAGCCCAGCCTGCAAAGTTTATAGAAGCGTGTCCAGCGGCAATCCGATACCTGTATGTATATTCCATGATAGAAAAACATGACGCAGAGATTATATGCATGCCAAAATGTTCACATGTTTAGATAGAAATCGGAGAAAACTTACTCAACAATATGTACTCATGCGGGTGATATATCGGTATGTTAAAAGTAACAAAAGTCATATTTTTTCCATATTTTATTAGTGGCACGGCTAGGGCTACAGTAAATTTGTATCCTTTGAAATAAATAGTATTTAACTGTCGCCTATAACAAACATGTGCCTTAATGCACAGACGAAAATATGTTGCCAGTTTATAGGATCAGCTGTCAAGCGTTATCATGATTGTAAGACGCCTTTTGGATCTTGCTCAGACCAGAGATCGGCACTCCAAACCAGTACAAAAGTACCATTAGGACAAAAGTCATCGACTTTTATGAACTTACATACCTGCAGGTAATACCATATAACGAATCGCGAAAGATAAAAAAAAAATCCAAACAATTTCGTATACAGTTACTGCTAATAGCTGCCAAAATAATTCGAATTTCTAAAACTGGTGCCTGCATATAAACAACCACACTACGGTGTGTCATATACACGTATATATATAGTAATCGACGAAACTCACATTTCTTAAGTCAATTGGAAATTCGTTCCAAAACAAATCATGGCAAACAAATTAAAATTAGAGAAAATCATACAATTTTTAGAGAATTTTCAATTTTCTTTAATTATTTTTTGCTAAATAAATACATATCGCACGTTTAGTATTATACAGAATTACATATTTTAAAATTTCAATTTTGTGGTAAAACGCAATCAAAGTTTGATCAATTCATACAATTTGTATACCAAAATACAGATGGAAATACACATATCTTCGCCATTTTTGGAAAGTTCAGTTATTTGTTTGGCTGAACATATTCTACTCATCAAGCTTACTAATTGTATGGTGAAATCTCCGAAAACGTAAATTTTGAGTTACATCTCTATACCTATTATTAAATGTGCGATATGTACATATCGTCGTTTAAAGTACAAAACCGCGTATCAACAAAATGCAAAACCGCGTATGTGAGGTTGCATAAATTATTTTCTAGAGAGTAAAAACATTCATATTTCAGAATGATTCTGTTTTTCAAAAAGCAATCGCATTTTTGGCTAGTATATTTCAGGACGAATGGATAAGGATTGAGCCTAGAGCTTGTGTGAGCAAATCCAATTTTCGGCAGCCAATGTCAGTTACGCGGTTTTGTACTTTAAGCGACGATATGTAAGTATGTATGTATGTACTGGGATTTTTAGCCGTTTACTGATTCAATTTTACTTTAAGGATCCGTTTTCCCACTACAGTGTGCGGCAGAAATGTAGAGATAGAATAGTACCGAAAATTGTTGTGAAGCGGATATGTATTTATTGCTATTTTTCTGATAAAATTTTTCGATGAAAACGGTTTTATTCTGAACTTCACAGATGTGTTTTTTTTCATAGTTGTTGTAAACGAAAAACGAATATTATATCCAGCAATTATTTCCATTTGTATTAATAATTTTTAATAAGTTATGTATGGCGGCATTCGAACCAGGGACCTCCAGAGATCTTAAATAGAGAAATAGTAGCACGCTCCTCTGTTCAGTTTGATAATTTGAATAGCTTAGGATGCGAAAAATTAACAAAAATTTAAAACGTTTTCTGTGCGTTTCTATATACAAAAAATCTACGGAAACTGCAATGTCGGCTAAACGTACGGTTCTTTGTTGGCGGAGCACCTCTGGACTAAAAAGTAAAAAAAACCAGTACTTCAAACGTGACATGCACACAATGCCACAAAACTCGCTAATATCGAAAGAGCAAAGCATGCCACGAAGAATAAAGTTAGTTGACTGCTTTGGCATTTTGAGTTTCTATTTTCAATGGGCGGGCGTTCGGAGAAAGTTTTAGTAACTTATTTAGGAAATAAGGTTTTGATCAATGCAACAGCGCTGACTTGTTAAACACGAACTTGCACTGATTTGTCTTATGTGATTTATGTATGTATGTGTACAGTACTGCAACGATTTCGATGTAATTGCTTTCATGATTTCGTTCCACCCATCTATGCATAGATATATGTACATACATACATATGTAGATATGTATGTACAAACATGCCAACACGTTTGCCTCCAATGCGCATCAGTGCATGCTCCTTTTCTATCCATAAATGTATTTATCAATTTTTATAACGGTCTTCCACCCTCACCCTATTTTGTTATTACCGCAGCAGGGCCGGCCTTTTGTGCATGTGTTCCGCATACAATCCATTGACTAGACTTTCACTCAATTCTTTATCCATAAATCAGTCAATGCTGCATTCTGTTGCTGGAACTCAATGAGAAGAGCAGAGAGAATGCTATGTGTGCAACTTTCATATTTACATCCGAGAATGCGAATGGGTAACTAAGCTCGGAAAAGCACATATGTATATACATACAAACACACTATATACCCTGCAGAAAAAAATTATCAATTGATAAAAAATAACCTACTTATTGTTAGCCTTTTTGCGGGATTTCTATAAAAGCCTTTCTATTTAAATATCCTGCACTTCGCAAATACTTTTTCGAATTGAGGACAAATAAAAGGAATATCGAAATTTCATATTATCATTTTGAAGTTATGTCTGACGGAGTTCGAATATGGGACCACCTACAGCAGAATATGTAAACAAATATGAAATGTGATAAAATAAATAAAGTAAATAAATAAAAAAACAAACAAAAAAATTTTGTTTTTCCTATTTATATTTTATTCCCAAAAGTAGTTAGCTACAACACAAGTTAGTTACATCAAACGCAGAGGTAACCACCCTTGACTATTTCGCGGCCATCGCCATAGAAATATAGTTAGCTTTCGTCAAAGAAAGTATACAGATAATAAGTGACTTACGGCTCCTTCCTAATCAACTTAAAGTTAGCTTATAGTTAGATACATTTCCTGCAGGTTATATACTTATGCATGCATGTATGTGTGGGCATGTGTTCATTTCTATCCGCATGCCTACATGCATGCCAATTGATATTTATTGAGCATTTGTTGAATGGGCCAACAGTATTTGATAACATCCATACAATCATGCCTATGCATAAGTACTTATGTGTGAACATAAGCACAAGTTCCCGTTTGTGGTTAAAAGGCATGGTACGCATTAAAGAATAATCTTCTGGAAAGTGGTTTTACCTATTTTTTATAATTTCTAATTGTTTTGTTTATTCCACGAATTTTGCCATTTACTATATTCAAGTAAGGGGCGAGCATGTTGAAAAAAGTTCTTTTGGGGTCAAGGTTAAAAAGGTTTTCAAGCTAACACCTCACCGGCCATAGATAGATAGATCATCACAAGATATGTAGCTAACAAAAAATCTTTACAAATTTTCTAAATTGAAGTTCACCTGATAATCCATGGAGTTGCCATAGCCCATGTGATTGCATGAGCATGCGCAATGCTTGATATGCTGTTCCAGGTCGTCATCGATAATATGTTGATGCAGCGAATCCAGAGGAGTGCCTTGGTCCGTTGCCGCTATGGTCGCGGCGATCGATGGACTGTTGCAATTGCTGCCATTATTTGATGAAACGCGGCCCCTACACAAAATCGGGGTCACGTGTGGCTCTGTATGTCGGGTAGTATGTACATTTAAGATGCTATGCTGCTGCCGCAATTTCTTTGTTGAATCAGCCAGCACATCTAGTTCTTTGATGTGTAAGGAAGATGCCGTTTTCATGCCCTCCACAATAGAATTGGCAATTAAGCTGGACCTTTGTATGGCACAATTCCCGCTTTTAGCGTTCAAACTTTCATTCATGTTCGTACACATATCCAGCGAACTGGACTTTAACATATTGCGGATGTTTGCACTGCGAACATTTTGTCCTGTTATCGTCAACGGTTGACTGTTGCTGTTATTGCTGCAATCATTTGCTGAGACTTCGTCTGTTAAACTTCTTCCACGCTGAAGTGGAAGCGGTGCAAGCCGAACCCCGTTGTGCGAGAGACTTTTCCTTCGCTGCTGCTCGTTAAAAGCTCTATAAGCAACAGTTTTCTCTTCAGGCGTGAATAATGACGCGGATAATTTTAAAGGATAACGTGATGATAGTGTAAGGAATGTGCTACCATAGTCACTTTGCACCACATTCTTGCCGCCGTTTAGTTGTTTGGCTTTAGTTGCGCAAAGCGGTGTGGAGGTGGTGGAAGGATTTGAAAAATCTTTGCATGAACCACCACTAGTTGCTGCCACATTTACCGAGGTCGCAATATTCAGCGGCCGTTTATTGAGTAAATAATCAACATCTTTTGGCTTGTTTTCCGCTGTAGCTGCAGGAGTTTGTGTATTGATGGGGTGAGTTTTGACGGCAGCGGTTGCTGCCGATAACATAAGGCGCATCATTTCAACTGAGTCCGACGTCAGTGGCACCGTACAGGATCCTGTATCGGTCGCACTATCGTCACAATCTACGTCTGATTTTAGCCAGCGGTCAGGGTTGGCGTGGCTATCATTGCCACTCAAGTTGTTTGTGGTTTCTTCCGAACCGAACTCGTCAGAAGTATTAGACTCGATTTCTGCAATGGAAGAGTTGAGCTTCTTCCGCTGTACAATGATTGAGGCGGCTGTAGAATTGGCACCGTACTTCCAATAGGTTTTGTTTGTGCCAACCAAACGTTTCAGCGTCGCGGCAGCTTCTTTTTTGCGATCCTCTTTCTGTTTTTCCAGCTGCTGTAGAGTCTTGAAAGCCTTGCGTACTGGCTGTGTGTGATGTAATGTCGCACATCGTCTAATTGGTGGTGGCGTGTAGATGGGTGAGGGACTGTAAGATTGAGCCGGTGAACTCGCATTACTGACCTGCGACACATTAGCCTTGGACTTTTGAGACACAACTTTTTTTCTTATTTCTTGACTGTCGCGTCCTGTCAACGAGTGTGCCGAAATTGACAGTGCTCGAGTGAATTTCAAACGTCTACCTCCGGTTCTACTATCTGCTGTATTCTGTTGCTGCAGAAGCTGTTGACGTTTGCGAGCCGCCGCAACTAGGTTACATTCATTAATGGTGGGTAAATTAAGTATATGCGGATGCAATTGGGCATAGGTTAGTTTCGGTTGAAATTGCTGCTGCTTCAATAGTTGGGTCTGTTGGAATAGTCTTTCCCCCGTTGGTGGGGAGGGAGGATCAAATAGACTTTTTTGGCTAAGTGCAAGAAATTCCTTTTGTTCCTCTTCCTCGAGTGCTTTGAGAGCACGCAAATCCCATTCACCAGATGACATTTAATAGGGTCAAAGCGCGCTGGCACACGGCAAACTGCCTGCGTAGGAGCAACGATTTGTGCATATGAACATAAGCGGTCGCGTTAACTTAACTATACAAGTATATAATTAATTACCTTTATGCTTTATTTGGCATGAAATTTCACATACACCATCAAATCAATTTATTAACACTTACATATTTTATAGCTCAAATAACTGTTATTTCTTAAAACATGTGATAAACACTGATATGCACCATCATTTTTTTTTTTTGTAGATATATGTATTTAAATTTTTAAGTAAGGTAATTATATTTCGCATCCTGGTATTTTGTAGTACGCATACATGCACATATTTCACTTAAGTTAGCCAATCACAGCTACCAAATGCCCTTTGCAACACTTGCACTAACTTTTGGTTTGTATTGAATTTTTTATGCACATCTTTTAAATTATAACTACATATTAATCATATATGTATCCCTAGTCCACAATGGCAAATAATGGACGTTACACAGTTTATTTGTGCCTGTGTTGGTTGATACCACATTTTTCGCCGTCTCAATAATACTCTGTCCCTCCTCGAGTTGTGTTCGTATGAGTACACACGTTTGAATTGACTGAAATGCATACAAGATGGCTGTAATGTTTTATATATCGTCACCACCGCCAGGTACATGACTGGTAACAGCGGCAACTGTTGCTGCAGAAATTTTAGCATACCAACCATTACAGGCGAAGAGCTGGCAGCACGTGCCGCAGATAGTAAAAATTCGTCTCTGCAGTTACACAGGTTCCACAATCTGTTATCCTTATCAGCAAATTACATATTGTCCCACTGTTATTAACAAAAGCTAAGCAGTCAAACAGCAGACAGTTGGGGCCAACAAACATGTCTGTGAGAATCGGTTCACAAATTCAAATATGTACATATCGTCGTTTAAAGTACAAAACCGCGTATCAACAGAATGCAAAATCGCGTATGGGAGGTTGCATAAATTATTTTTCAACTTTTTTCAAAAATTGGTTCAAGAAAACTCAAATAACTAGACCAAAACTATACCGATATAGACTTATGAGTTATGTATCTGTGGAAAGGTATTTTCTCACCCTTTTTATTTCTGTGTGAAAAAACTCATGTCCCAATTTTTATTTTTTCAAATACTAACACACATTAATTAAACTTGGAATGACACTCGTTCATACTTTGAATTAAATTGTCCAAACAAATAAATCTATATCGGTGAAGCTTGAACCGAGTTATTAAAATTTTTCTTAAACCAATCTTTGAAAAAAGTTCAAAAACAGCATCAAAAATCTCGTTATTGGGATTCTGTTGAATTTTTTGTTTTATGCAATTTTTTTAAGCTTGAACTGTTTTTCTATATGAGGTGTTTTTTTTCAAAAACCCTGTTTTTAAGCATAAAAAACTCAAGATGGTATTTTCAAATCAGTCTAGCTCACGTAAATCTTAAAATTTTTCCGACACGTTTTGGTGGAGTACTTAAAATATAAGATTTTATAATTCCAATGGGAAAACAGTAACGATTTTTTTTTGTATGGGGAGTGATGCAGTCTAATGTACATATGTATTTAAATATACAATCAGTTTCTCGAAAACCTCTTAAAGTGAGCAAATACATACATATACTGCCGGAACAAAGTGTTGACACAGCAAATTTTTCACAATATATGCAACAATTTTGACTCTAATATTTTTCCGCCAATTTTGTATAAAAATATGGTTCATTCAATAACAAAAAAACATAAAAATATAATTCCTAAACTTTGTGCAAAACTCGCGAAAATTCAGCAAATTTTCATGAAAATTTTAAACTTTTTAATCAGATTTTTTGGAGTTTTTTTGAGTATGCAGTTTTCTAGTAAACAACTGTAAGTTCGGAGTTAGTCAAAAATCGCGTTGATTTTTGAGAATTTTTTTTGTTGAATGTATTTTGCATTTTTTCCATATAAAGTATTTTCGAAAAAAAAAGTTTGTATGGAAGGACTGCGTGAAAAGAAATTGCCAAAAATCAACGGTAATTCCTAGCTCATTTCTTGCAGAATTTTCTTTATTTTTCGTACAGAAATTTTATTACCAGTTTGTGTCAACCACTTCATATAATTTTCTTCGTTACAGAAATGAGAAACTACTAAAGATTTCGTTAAGATTTCGGGAACTTTGGATTGCAGGGGTGCCATGCATATTCTTCCATTCAAAGTTACTATGTTTCAAAAAAATTTTTTTTTTTTTTGTATGGAGGATATGTACATACCCGCGTCGGCAAAAAAAATATCAAAAATTAACGCGAATTCTTAGCCTCTTTAAACTCACACTTTATTATACTAGAATTTATTGGACTACGAAACTGCATACGTAGAATTTATGAAATAAAAAATTTTTATTGTGTTACTGTGGAAACTGTTTGCATTTTTCTACAAAGTGTGAAATGAAACTACACTTTAATAAAAAATGCATGGACATTAAACAAATAAAGGAATCATAGTAAAAACTGCTAAAAAAATATCGTGTTCCTATTTTTGTCACGAACAATTCGCTCTATCGTTTTGTATCAACAACTGATAAATTTATACTACTTCCGTGCATTAAAAAATTTCGATAGCAAAAAAACTAATTTTTTGTATAAATGCAGTATATTGGAAAAAAAATTCAGTTTCCATTTTTGGAATCCAAAAAAAGTATAATACCACAAAAGAGTATAGGTACGAGCGATTTGTAAAAATATATTAGTAAATAAACCCATTTATCCAATAAGTTCACAGTTCATAGGCAAAACATTCAAAACAAGCAACTTTCAACAGAGCGGCATTACGTATACGCTCTGCAGTACCCTTTTATTAGGGAGCGAATTTCCATGAACTATAAATTGAAAAATATGCGCATACACTATGAAAATTAAATTTTCAAATTGTACTTATTTGCCGAAAAAAATTTTACCTGGAAGTAGATAAATGTACCTAAATATTGAATATGTATTTTTATGTGTATAAATTTTGGATATTGGAATTTCTCCGAGGAGTTCAAGCCAAAACTATGGGCCTCATACATATAAACTGACTAAAATTTGCACTGATAAAGTGAGCTCAAGCTCAAAAATTTGCACTGAAAATCGAGTCGGAGCTTAAGCTCACTTTTTGTGTAAGAGGCCCTATGTTTTCCCCTTTGCAAGGAAGGGAAGCTATTGGAAAAGTCGTTGAAATGCCTGCAAAAGTGAGAGGAAATGCGGAAGCTATGGACATTAGAAGGAAAACATTTATTTATTTCGCATTTGGCTTAGTACGTGGTACTTTTTTTGTTTTGTAAATAAATTCAGTCAGCAAGTTTTCTTTTGTGTTAAGCCACTACATTAATAAGATACGTATTTCCTTGGATTTGCAGATGTACATAAAATGAAATTTATTTTGTCCAGTTTAGATTGAGGTTGTTACATAGATGTATGTACATATACATACACTACATTTTCACCTGTTACACAGAGAACCTGTATATAATCTATGTTTATGTTGTGAATACATATACATACATACATACGTACATACTTATGTACAGATGAAGTTAAGAGCAAACCTAGTTTTGTACCTGCAATTGAAAACGTACATACATACACACATACATATGTATGCACATTGGGGATGTTAATTTTACGGCTTTTTCCGATCTCGGGATTTTCGGGATGGCGTTGTCTTAATCCCAGGATCCCGGGATTAGTCCCGGGATTTAGATATTCATTACTTTTCAACAACTTGAATCGAAAAACTTGCTTACATATTGTTTGAGAAGCTCTCCTACCATGAAATAAATAATAAATATGTAAATGGGTTTGAAACCTACTTTCTTATTTAAAGTGGCGTTTTTATTTTTTTTCTCTGACCGCAGGATTTATTTCGAAGGACTTTGTAATTTCAAAAATATGATTAATTCCCAAAATTATTAAATAAATTCAATGCAATGTAGAATAAAAATATGGGCCCAAATGCAATAGGGAATTTCTTCAGAATTCGAGGATGCTATCGAGTTTATATAAGCCCTTAACATGAAATTTTTACAAAAACAAATATTGCGAAATTTCAAGGATAAAATTTTAAAATTACATTTTCAATATTTACCAGCCCTTCTGTACCAGAAACTTGAATCTATTTAAATTCTACAGACTTTCCTTATTAATTTTATACCCATACTTCTTCTCTAAGCACATTTCTCTGAATTTTTCAAATCATTTTTGAATTACTGACGTCAGAGTGAAAAATTAAAAACGCAATTTTACTATATTTGTCCCATGGTTTCGCGAATATATTGATATTTGTGTTTAAAATTTACTATCGAGCGGTGTTATATGTATAAAAAATATTAATTATTAAATAAAAAAGAGATATAGCCAATACTGGTCAAGAAAAGGAGTTTCTATTATTGCCATCAGTGCAAATTACAAGTCCCGAAAATCCCGGGATTACTTGCCAAGAAGACCTTAAAAAGTCCGGGATCCCGAGATTAACATTCCTTATGTACATATTTACATACATTCCAGAGCAAGGTGCAGCAGCGCCGATTTGTTGCAGTTTAACCTAAATAACTTTGATGTCTTAGAAAAGCTAGAGCAATTTAGTATTGCAAATATGAGAGTAATTGACAAATAGTAAAACTTCCAGAAAGTTATTTCGACAATTTCTGAAACAATTACATATGTCACATTGCTTCAAACCAGTTACACTTTTGACAAAGGAGAATATTTAGATACAACATTTTATTAAGATAATTTGAAATATACAAAAGATTGATAAAACTTCATAAGTAAACACTATCATGTTTATTTATGTACATATGTATATACAAAATTGTATAGTTACTTTTTTGGAAAAAAATATGTAGAATAAGGGATCCAATATTTTAGAAGGGAAACATTTATAATGTTTCGATTATTCTAATCTAAACTATTTTTTTTTTTGTATTTTTAACGAATATACCTTAGTGAAATAATTATATCTGCACTGAAGAATTTCTAGATAAATCTCTAAAAAATGAGGTTTGATATTTTTATATATTTGTTTGTATTATATTATCAGAAAGTTAACAAATATAACAACAAAACAATTTATATCTATCTTCTTAGTAAATAATTTTATTTGCAACCAAAGTTATTTCAGTATCATGTGACTAAACGAAAGTTTTTTGCAGACCTTAGTAATTCATATTTTTCCCCTTCATCAAAAACA